CCCAGCCCCTCTGCGCCGTTTCTCACTACCACCCTCCTCCCCCGGCACCGCCGCTGGCGTGCTCGGGCTAAACCCCCTTCATTCCGCCTGCGATGGAGAAATGTTCCCGGGACCAGAAGGAATGATAGGACTGGGGTTGGTCTCTATGACAACTGGAAGGAAGAGGTGGGTTTATAGATCCTTCGCCGTTCTCCTGTAGTGGAGAAAGCGTGGGACCCGGAAAGTATGGCTGTCTTTTTTTAAGGAGAGTCTGGTCCCCCCTTTCTGTGTAGTGCCCTAGGGGACATAGAAAGATTTGGGGGTCGCCTTGGAGCCTGGGGGGGAAGAGGGTGCTTTTTTAACATCTTAATTGCCTTCTCTTTTGGGGGCGAGAACATGGTCACCTCCAGTCCTGAGATCCCGACCTCTCATGTCTACCAAAGGCCCTGCCAAGCACCCACCTCCCAGAGGTTACACAAGCCCGTTAGGATCCTGCCCTCCCCTTCCCCCCTTCCAAGGCATTCCCTCACTCCGTCAAGTTTAACAGGGCTGTGGGGTTATCTCGCTTGCTAATTATTTCCTAAGTACCTCCCCTGGGGGATTTTAATGGCCCTTGGTTGATAGCCCTTATTTCCCCGTAATGACTGCTAGTAGCCGACTGAACCAGAAAGATGAGCTTTTTCTCTTGCCGGTTGAGTAGAATTACCATGTTCACTGCAGACTTGCTCCCCTCACTGTAGGAATAACTCTGGAACCCCAGTTTCCTAACTCTGGAAATTCCAGTTCCTGCAGGAAGCCCAGGTTTGGGGTTCAATTCCCAGTGTGGAGCATGCAAGAGGCACCCAATCAATGATTCTCTCTCATCCGCAGGAACCAAGATCAACTGTAACTACTCTTCCAAGTCTCAGTGCCCAGCAGTGCCTATCTTTCTGCCTCCTCCCCACCCCACCAACCCCTACCACCACCACTACAAAAAGTACATATATGAGCCTCCTGACCTGAGGAAGCTTCTATCCACGTCTGTGAGCTCCCATAGATCATCCTGAGGAATCAAAGAATCATCATCATCTGAGGCTGTTAAGATGAATTTCAAAACCACACCTGAAATATGTTTTATTATCGTTTACAGGGTGCCTTTACATCTCATTTATTCCTCCCAGCAACATTTGGACGATGAGGCAGTTTACCCAGAGGTACAGTTTTTAAAAATGACAGAACCTAGACGGACTTCTGAGAAGTTAGCTACTCTGCCTTACGATAATCAAAAGAAGGCATGGATTCAGTGAAAGTCCAATACATTCCTGGAAGGCTTTTGCTCCTCTTAAATACATATGTGTGTCTTCACTCTCTAATGTGTCTGTGAACTTGCTGACAATCTGTGGCTATCATTAAAGTTTATCCAAAATAACAAATGAAGCACATACTACTTGCAGTTAGGCAAGATGTATATAACCCTAAATCAAAAATGCAAATTGATCCCTGGTTAGAGCACATACAGGAAGCAACCAATGAATGCATGAATAAGTGAAATCGATCATTTCTTTCTCTCAAATCAATTGTTTTGTGTGTGTTTTTTTAGTTTTTTAAGCCTGGCCAGTTTTGCTTAGTGGTTGAGCATTGACCTATGAACTAGGAGGTCCTGGTTCGATTCCTGGTCAGGGCACATGCCCAGGTTTCGGGTACAATCCCCAGTGTGGACCATGCAAGAGGCACCCAATCAATGATTCTCATCATTGATGTTTCTATCTCTCTCTCCCTCTTCCTTCCTCTCCGAAATCAATTTTTAAAAAAAATTTTTAATAAACATTAAAAACAATAAAGTTTTTTCTCAAGGCAAATAAATTGAGCAAAAGAAGCCAGATACAAAAGAATGTATCCTATATGATTCCATCTATATGAAGGTCAATATTCATAAATGATATTGCAATGATTCTCATCATTAATGTTTCTATCCCTCTCTGAAATCAATAAAAATATATTTAAAAAATAAATGATATTAGAAGTCAGGATAATGGTTGCTCTTGGGGTAAGGGGAGAGAGAACTGATGAGAGGATAGCAGATTTATAGACATTGGTAATGTTCAGTTTCTTGGTATGGGGGTAGTTACGTGAGTATGTTTGCTTTGTAGTATTTCATTAAGATGTTCACTTGATTTGTACAGTTTTCTTGTATGTGTATTATGCTTAAATAAAACTTTTTTACAAGAGAAATTGAAGATTTGCCTTGGAGCAAAGTAAACCCATGACTAAGTAGGTGTTATTTTTTGTTTTGTTTTGTGTGTGTGTGTGTGTGTGTGTGTGTGTGTGTGTTTTCATAGCCTCTAAATGAAAGTAGCAATTAAGAGGTTTCCTTTTCTGTGGTTATTACAATAGTTTTTTTTAATATGTTTTCATTGATTTTTAAAGAGAGGAAGGGAGGAGGAGAGAGAGAGAGAGAAGCATCAATGACAAACATTGATCGGCTGCCTCCTCCACATACTGGATCAAGCCCAAAACCTAGGCATGTGCCCTAACCAGTAATCCTCTTGGTGCATGGGTCAATGTTCGACCACTGAGCACACCGGCCAAGCATAATAGTTTATTTTTCAAGGAGAGCATTATTAAGTTCTTTATCACTTCTCTCAATTATTTACCCTTGGGGAGAAGCTAATTTTCTGGTGTACAACCAAAATAAGAAGCACTAGGGTCATGGTAAGCATTGTGCTTCAAAGGAACTAACCAAATTCTTTCATTGGTTTCCGTTGGTGCCAGGAAAATGAAGGGTGTAGCTCAGGCCCCTTTCAAACACAAGGCCTTTTTTTCCTGAGTGTATTGGTGGGAATTTGGGAAAACCTTGCCTACTGTGTCTCCCAAAGGGCAAAGAAATGAAGAATATGAAGTTCTCAAGCCTCTAAACATTCTTCCAATACCTGGCCCCTGACCCAGAGTTCACTTCTTAAGAAGGATAGAGATGGCGGTGTGTGTGTGTGTGTGTGTGTGTGTGTGTGTGTGTGTGTAACTAGCATGTGGCTTTGTGATGGCCTCACCAGAGCTCATAGGCAATATAAAAGTACTATTGCCTGCTTTCACCAATAAGGCTCAACTTTTCTCAGAAGAACAAAGGAAGAAAATTCAAGATGCAATAACAATGAGTTTAGACTGCAGAGTTTCCTAGATTTGGAAAATGCTATTACTTCCCAAGTATTGAAAGGACTAAAATTTTCCCTTAGTTTTCAAGAACAAAGCCTATCTTTGACTAAATATCCCTGACTTGAATACTATTACTAGGTAACCACTAATAGTTTTGCACTTTAATAATTGTTAAAAAAGCAATGTGTGCTCAAATAAGCTTGGGAGATATGAGATAAAGTTTAGAGCAATTTTTTTAATATATTTTTATTAATTTCAGAGAGGAAGGGAGAGAGAGAAACATCAATGATGAAAATCATTGATTGGCTGCCTCCTGCACACTACCTACTGGGGATCAAGCCAGCAATCAGGGCATGTGCCCTTGATCAGAATCAAACCTGGGACCCTTCAGGCTGCAGGCCAACGCTCTATCTACTAAGCCAAACCAGCTAGGGCTAGAGCAGTGTCTTAAAGCTTTTAATATGCTGAAGAGCATGTTGAATCTCCAAGAGGAAACAGGTATGTAGCTATCTTCCAAATGTAATTGACCGTGGAACCCTTTTTTCACAGAATCTGTTCCTCAGACACTGCGCAAAATTCATCTCGGTATAAAAATCACTTGCATCTCTGTTATATTAACAGCAACGAAGATGATAATTCTTTCCATTTTGAAAGCTTGATAGCTAATATTTCACTCCCCAATAAACATTTTGTAAAAGTATCGGCTTTCTGAAAACAGGTTTGTCCTCTTTTCCTTTAAACAGTTCCTCTTTCCTTAGTTCTCTTAATAGTATTACCGTTGCTATTGCCCTGTGTAACTTGATTCTTCCCTCTCATTTGCCCATCTCTCCTCTAGACTGCAATTCCATGAGGCAAGGACCCTGTATCACTGGTTTGTCACTGTGCCCAGAAGGCCTCACACAATGTTCTTAATGTATTTACTTATTTTAATCCTCACCCAAGGATATTTTAATCCTCATCCAAGGATATTTTTCTTAGAGTGGAAAAGAGAGGAAAAGACAGGGAGAAATATTGATGTGAGAGAAATACATTGATTGGTTACCTTGACCAAGATCCAGGCTGGGGAGGATCCCGCAACCGAGGTACATGCCCTTGATCGAAAGCAAACCCAGGACCCTTTGGTCCGCAGGCCAACGCTCTTTCCACTGAGCCAAACCGGATAGGGCTTTAATGAGTATTTTTGGTTGAGTGTCTGAATCATAGAAAAGTCACATTGTCCCTGTCTGAAATACCTTAAATCTGAAATTAAAAAGTTCAAATGGCCCTGGCTTGGTAGTTCAGTTGGTTAGAGTATCATCCTGATATGCCAAAGTTGTGGGTTCCATCCCAGTCAAGGCACACATAAGAATCAACCAATGAATACATAAGTGAAACAACAAATCGATGTTTCTCTCCCTTTCCTTTCTCTCTAAAATCAATAACTTTTTTTAAAAAGGCTCAAATAGCCCTAACCGGTGTGGCTCAGTGGACTACCCTCGGCCTACAGACTCAAGGGTCCCAGGTTCGATTCAGGTCAAGGGCATGTACCTTGGTTTCGGGCACATCCCCAGTGGGGAGATGTACAGGAGGCAGCTGTTTGATGTTTCTCTCTCATAGATGTTTCTAACTCTTTATCCCTCTTCCTTCCTCTCTGTAAAAAACCAATAAAATATATATTAAAAAAATAAAAATAAAAAGGCTCAAATAAGTGAGATCTTAACCATAAACTCCGAACAAATCTAATAATTTGTAAAAATAAATACATGGGTCCTGGCCGGTGTGGCTCGGTCGGAGCATCGTCCCATGCACTGGAAGATCACCGGTTTAATTCCTGATCAGGGCACATACCTAGGATGCAGTTCCGTCCAGGTTGGGTTACTAGTAAATATGTTGGCAACTGATAATGTATTTCTCACATTGATGTTTTTCTTTCCCTCCCTCCCTCTCTAAAATCAATAAAAATAATTTTTTTTAAATAAAAATCTCTCCAAAACACCTACCAATACTGAAGGATAAGGTATGCAGAGTGGCCTAACTCTCCTGGACACTGCAAAAGTGAGAGCAGCTAAGGTTCTGGAAAGCTAACAAATCAACCTGACAAACATAAGAGCCATTGAGTTCCTGTTATGTGCACAGCTATCATAAGGCAGTGGGGCTGACACTGCGCGTGCCAAAGGAGGCAGCTGCCTGTGTGGTGCAAAGTAAGGAAACTTCCCTCACCATAGGAGGAGGGATGTATTACATGGTTGATAAATTTGAGAAGGAACTGGGCATGTTTTGCTGGGCCCTAACTCCCTTCCCTGTGGTTGTCAGGGAGGGGCTTGTGCAGTGTGTGTTGTCTGGTCTGCTAGCTGTCACCTGGTAAGAGGCACCCCCTGTGGGAATCAGGGGAGGCCTGAAGTATCCGGAACCACTGAGAAGACTGTCAAATTCAAGACTTGAGCACTCAGCCATCTACCTAAAACCATATTCAGAAGTTTAAAAAGATGGTATTTTGATTACTATCTGATTCCTAGCTCTGTCTCTCAGAAAAATAAAAGGGTGTTTTCAGGCCATAAACCAGCATTCTCTAGTCTTCTTACTGTTTCTGGGGCTTACCTCAAAGAGAAAAGCAGATGGGTAATAAACACCTTGAAAGAAGAAGCTGTTTTATTTTTTGTATATTCTTCCCCAGCCTAATAGATACGTGACAGCACACAGTGGGCCATCATCTGTGAAAGTAGAACTAACTCCAGATAAAGTCATTGGAGCAGGGTGTAAGGTGGCACCAGGTTGCTCTAAATTAGCTGTCACTTGATGGCAATCAACTCCTGCCTAGGAGCCAGCTGGGTAATCAGTAGATTAGTGATGGTGGAAGAATTCCTCAAAACAAGCAGACTTCTGGGACAGTTTGCATCCCAGGTTGCATATGGTAATCACTTAGGGAGCTTTCAGGGGAAAAGATAGCCAGGCCGCATGCAAGCAACCCAGACAAATGAAGTTGGCATTTCTGCAGGTGGGACCAAGCATCAGTCGTGTTTAATAACCCCCAGGTGATTCCAATGTGACGTTAGGGTTGCGATCCAGTGTTCCAGGCTGGCCTTTCTTTAGCATCATTAGTAGTTTGTAAGAAATACAGAATTTCAGGCCCCACCCCACACCCACCCTTTCTGCATTTTTAGCAAGAGCTAAAAATGACCCATATATGTCTTAAAGTCTGGGAAGTCTAGTGTAGAATTCAGCTTTGCAGTCAGCTGAAT